AAAAAAAAAAAAAAAAAAAGGTACGTCTTAAACCAATAATTGCAATGCAAAAGACACTCTTAATACATTGTTTTAAGAGTGTCTTATCAATTTAAGCATTGGTTTAAGACATACTTAAGTTTAGTGCAAGTGGACACCAGAGTTTTAAATCGCAAAGATCTGAGAGGTACTACCACTGCGCCCGGCACTATGAGACATGAAGTTATAGTGAGATATAATTTCACCAGCACCTTTACCCTTCAAAACCGGAACGCAGTAATACTGACATTGCTGCGTGGCGGCAGACATAGGTAAAGTGGTAGTACTTCCCTGGACGAGCTCGTTCACGTGGAGGTCTACTGCTAGCAAAATTTTGTGAGTTAGGTATATCATAACAATGCTGCGAAAGAACTTAAGACAATAGGTAGAATGTTCTCTTCAAATAGATAAAGCGATTACAGGAATGATTGAAATTGCCAATTATACAGCCACGAACGAATAGAATACTTTTAGTGTTCGATATTTGTAAAAATAATTGAATATCATGATAGTAAACAAGGTCATATTCAATAAAGTTAACATTAGAAATGTATGTAGGTATATTATTTATAAATTGAATACCAATTAACCCAAATTCGATAATTCTTAACATTGTATTTACAATGGTATAATATAATTAAATATACAAATAAATATAAATATTACACATCACGTTACATATACGTTGCTGCGATTCCAAAATAAGTAACAGAAGCACTTGTGTTTTGGAAATCGGAAACACCCAGACCCGGAACAATATACAATAGTTAGTTTTCTATATTGACCCGGCCGGGGATCGAACCCTGGACCTCAGTGGTCATCGAATGGATGTAAACTATACTTCGCATACATAACATCTAATTAATGTGAGCATTACTGCGTTTCGACTGGGACTTGTCAACTTAGGTCCCAGGATGACGGGCGCAGTGGTGGTCAGACCCTTACGAATCTCTGAATTGCACTGCAATTGCTATGGGTCAGGGGCGCTTGTTCGTCCTGTTACTTGGTGTCAGAAAAAAATAATAAATGGAATACAATTCTAATCTAGACCCATGTCGTCTTCACATACATTTTTATTCAATACGTAATTATTTCTTTACGAGCTACAACATTGTCAACGTCGCGAGTCATAGATAAGTGAAACTAGCGCGAAATCGTGGTGAATTGCACACACTACAATTCAATAGTGACGGAAGTCGAACTATGGA